TTACAGTTGACACCTGGCATTGTAAGGTTTTCACCGGCAAACAATCTGAATTTCATGTTGGTATCGGCCTCTAAAATCCAGAGTTGGTCGGGCTGTATAGTTGGTACAAAATTAAAGAAAATTTGGAAGACATGGTCGTCATAAACAGTTCAAGTAGAAGCATATCTGAGAATGGTTTTCCTTTTGATGTTATGTACACATAACTACAGGGTAGTCTGTGTTTTTGAAGTCAGTGTGGTTTGCTTGTGACACACACTGACCCGGGTCTGTGTCTACCTGGCCAGGTGGGGCGGAGAGGTCACTGCTCGGTGGAGGACGCTCTGGCCTCCCTCGATCTCTACAAGCTGGTGGAGGGCGAGTGGGAGCGCGAGCTGCAGAGCAAGCTGAGGGACGAAGATGCCCCGCGCGAGCCCAGCTTCGCCTCCTCGAACCACTACATGCAGGACGAGTACTGGCCGCATGACGTCATCGCCGACAGCCAATGAGAGGAGAGTATTCCACAAGACACCTGTAGTTGGAAATACCTCAACAGAGTACATTACATGGTGATTTACATTCATCAGAGCAACTTCAGATAATAAATAATGTGAATTCAAAAATAACTTGACAGTAAATCAACTCTTAGTACATTATCTGCGTTGTCTCACATGAAAAGATGTCCGGTATCACGTTGGGGGAAATTAAAACGCTAACTTATTACTGTTAAACATGATTGGATACCAGATATTTACCTGCACAGTTTTTCCTCGTGAGTTTAGAATGACAGATGTTGGTTATTAACTTATGATATGAATAGTTAGGGGTTCTTAAAAAGTATCTGCTCTGACTTGAAAGGTAACATGTTACTATCAATGGGCCACAGAACTGATCTTGGGACACAGATAGTGTTTTGGAAAACTGCATTTGCAAACTGCATTTTTCAGATGTTTCTTAAAATGCTGCTGTGATCAAACAAGTTGAAGCTTTTAAAATGTGTTTTCAGAGTCTAAGAACACATTTTAACAACTAGTTTAAGCTGTTGCAGCTGCCTCCACGTCTATGTGGCCTTAAAGGTTTTATATTGCAACAGTTGTGGATTGTAATGTTGGTATTTCATTACCTCTCACTGTAAGCTGCTCTTAAAGGTCCTCAAAATAAAATGTCATCCAGTTCAAATGAAACTGACTTTGTTTGGTTTCAGTGAGTGAATGTGAAAACACACTGACACCTCAAACATGTAACACTGGTTTTCCTAATGTCATTGTAAACATCTTGCGCTCTGGTTTAGTTTCAGTTTGCACATAGAAGCAACTGTTGGTGTGATCTCTGCAGAGAAGCTCATGTGATTTTACTTAAAGGTACAGAGAAGAAGACAGACTGTATGATACTGAAAGCGGCTTTTATTTTTATCATAAAGTGTTTCTTGTAGCGATGAACCCAGAGAGAATTATCGACCGACTCTTCTGTTCCCTTCAGCTCAACAGTGACTGAAAATGGAGCTAAAAGAGTGAATACCGGCCTCATCAGGTGGACAGAAACTCCCAAATGAACGATACTTTTTATGCGGTGGGTTGAATCGTTACGTTAAGGTTCACACTAATTGCAGAGGGGAAAAACACCCAACTATGCCGTCACGCTTGATCCAGTGCCAGATCAGCATCAACAGCAGCAGTAGCATATTAACGGATGAAACCTCAGCTCTGGTAGTGTTGGGAAACATTGTTAGAGTTTCACAAACACTGGATCAGGTTCTGAAATCTTCTAGTGGCACAAGGTCCAAGTAGGTCCACTGCAGTAAAGGTGGGCTGACCCGAGAAAGAATGTCTATAGTGTGAAGATTTGTAGTCTGAACAAAAGCTCCGGGTTCACTTTTTAATTATGAATTCTCTCCCAGCATTCCCAGTTAAGTCCCAGTGACTGAAATACTCGTGTGAGTCTTTGAGCTGAATGCTGCACAGCTTTACGAAACGCTGTAAAGGTCTAAAGATGTCAGCGTGACGCTAGATTATAATATATTGTGTATAATTTCTCTGACTATCTAAACATGGAAGAAGCTGCAGGTGGAGTTGTACGTTTCTTTCATGCTCCGTGGCTCTAAATAGCTTTGTCTTACAAACCCATGATATCTCTCTCTCTCTCTCTCTCACTCACTCACTCACTCACTCACACACACTCACTCACTCACTCACTCACTCACTCACACACACACACACACAAAGCCTGAACTTGGCCCCGCAGCTCAGGCCATAAGGAGGAAACACAGGGTAGCATTGTTTTGCCCAATCCATCTAATTTTGTTCCCCAAATCGCTTTATTGAGATCAGGCCTGATTTAGCAGATTACTAGCTGGCTGCCTGCTCCTTCGTCGTCGTGTCAAGAGGAAAATGTGTGGTGGTGACGTTAGCGGGACCAGGGTCGGAGAAAGAAAGATGGCCGACTTCCAAACGTCAACCATAAGAGAGAACAGCCGGCTGCGTCGACGTGTCCGCAGACTGTTGAGTTTACAGAAAGCTGCGTGGACGGGCCAGACAAGTGAACTGAAATTACATATTTTAATTCAAATAAAGCCTTTTTTTAAATCTATTTTTACCTGAAACAAGATCCTGCTGAGGGCCCCAAAGCTTTATTAGTTATGAGGGAAGATTACTTAGTAAATTAATGCACAAAGGTGTTTCTGAACAGTGAATGATAAAACATTAACAAACGTTTAATTTAACCACTGAGGATGTTTCGACTGTTGCAGTATTTCAATTATTGATAAGACAGAAAAATCATTTCACTCAATAGCAGCTCAAAAGCAAAAAAATACAGCAATTACTACGATTACAGCGCCCTGTTGTATTTACCGTCCAGTGGCTCTTTGTTAATTTGTTTACACACACACACACCTCTGTTGCTCAATTACTTGAGATTAATCTGGAGATTTCTCTTTTGAGTACACGTGTGTCCGATTAGATGAAGTGCTCACAGGATTGATCACATTATATAAACCTGAACATTACTCTTTGTGTATGTGAGAACTAATCTGATCACAGGGAATTGTGGATAGTTTAGGGTCCGTGTTGACTGATATAAATGCACCCAAATCTAAATCCAAAATCCTTTGGGCGTGTGTGTGTGTGTAAATGTGTTCAGTAGATTCTGAAGCTTTTCCTCAATCAGAATGATGGATCTCTCGTTTTAAAGCAAAGATCTCATGTGATTTCTGAAGCGTCCAGATTGTAAAACTGGTCTGAAACCTTTTTATGTCGATTATATTTAGTGAACTGCTAAATAGCAGCGATTAATCGATCAGTTGCTGAGTGAATGTAATAGTTTATGTAGCAAAAATGAGAGTGCATGCATCTGATGGAAACTACAGACCAAAACACACACAACTCAACAAAACTATATATATATATATATATATACTTCTTATACGCTTAATATTTAATACTTTATTGTTTATATACGTTTGTTTTTATAGTCTCTTTTTCTTCTGTTGTAATCTTGTATCAATCTCTGACATTAATCCCAGCCCTTTGTTTAATAAATTAAAGACTAATTAAAGAAAGTAATTCCTATCGCTGCTGGTCCCATTGAGAAGTATCACAACATTAGAACCTGAACTCCCAATCAACATCACGTCTCTAAACATGTGACGCAGACCATTTGAATACACCTCCACCTCTCACAAGAGCGAGATCACGTTGCAGAACTTAAACTGGAAATCAGCAGCCACAATGGTCACTTTTCACTCAAGTCTCCTTGGAATTCAATCAAATCCCTCCACCCCCTTAAACCACCTCTTACTTAAAGTGTGTACTCAAAAAATGACCTCATCCAAAATGTGCGCTGGCTCTGCCTTTCATCACGGGAGCCCCTCCACCATTGGCCAACATCTCCCTCGCCATCACTTCCCCCCACCCTCCGCCACTTTTATGCTGATTGAAAAGAAAAAAGTGGGACGTAATCTGGTGTGACGCCACTAATCCCAACGCTACAAATCACAGGTCCCGTCCGCCTCGCTCCACACAGACGCCCCGGGACTCACATCTGCCTCAGGTAAGACTCCTCTACTCAACATGCTGCTTCACTTCTCTTCCTCAGATGTTGTACGACTCTGAATCTCTGCAGCTCCTCTGGGTGTCTTTTTTTAAAGTGGCATTAAACAAAGAAAATGTGGACACGTGGCTGCCTTTGACTCCCAAACACAATGTTCTTCCTGTGTCGTGAGGTATTTGAGTGCTCAGTGTAATTAAGTGAAGACTATTACAAGACTCAGTCGGTGCATCATGGGACCAACTCTGACGAGCTTCAGAGCCGCATTCCCGCTGTGACGACAATCCCAAAAATGCAAAGCTCTGCAGCTTTGGATCAACTGAGTCTTTAATAGAATATGCTATAGAGACATAGTACAAGTCATTTACTTTAAAATGAGTCATGAATGCTCAATGAATGCATTTGAGAATTTCAACTCAAAATAATGTTCATACAACTGTACATTGCAGTTTCCCTCTCTGTTAGGACTGCAACTAACAAATACTTTCCTCATCGATTAATCTGCTAGTTATTATTCATTTTGTTTTATAAAGGGCAGGTTGAGTGTAGTGGAAACCTAAGCGGCTTGAAGCCCAGGGTGACGCCTTCTAACTGCTCGTTTTGTTTGAGTCTAAAAGCCAAAGATATTACATTTTCTGTCGCATATCTTACAAAGAGCTAGCTTGTGTTTTGTATTTTTACTTGAGAAATAGTCGACTAAATTTCTCAGCATCGATGGTTGTGCAGAATTTGTCGTCATGATACTAATAAAGAGTCTAAACTTTAACAGCCACCGTGAGCCTGTTGATTATGAAAGCAAAAGACTGTCGACCTTAAATCTCCTGATAAACCATCCAGGAATGGGCAAGTGCTAAATATAGCCGAATCAAGGTACCTTGTGACAGCAGAGCCGGTGGGATGAAGGGGGATTAAAGTGGAGCACAGTGTGTCAATTGTTTGTTTTGTTTTTTTGTTTTTCCTCCAGACAGTACAACACTGATATAAAGAGCAGGAGACATGGCTGTGGTTGTAAGTATTTGCATTTTTACTTCTTCAAAACTGTGTCAGTCTCAGAGAGAACTAATCAGTATCGATACTTTACTTTACTGAGCTGTAACGGGAGGAAAGGTCTGTGATTGTTTGTCAAATACCTATTCATCCTCCAGTAACATGGACTCAGCTGAAGCTCAACATTTCTCAAAACCAAAGCCCATTGTTACGAGTGCCGTCAACAGAACCCGTAGCTGCTAATCTCTGCTTGTAGTCCTTACCGTGTATTTACAGGCTCTGCTGGACTCGTGAGTCGTGAGGGAGATTAATCAAACACAGACCTATTGATTATTGCTGCTGCAACACGGTGAACAGGCATTTTGTTCTGTCTCGCGTGGATAAGACGCGTTTTAATCCTCACACGGCACAACCAAGTGAATTATACTGACATCCATCCAAAGCAACATAGTTTTGTTTTGTTTTCCGTTTTTGATGTTGACGGGTTCGTCGAACTTTTCACCCCACAGTCAAACAACTTGATTTGCTCCGTCATTGTCTCTATTACAGATGCCTGTGCACACAAACGTACTGTCTGGTTACAGTTCTGACTGTATCAGCAATAACTAATCTAACAAATATTTTTTAAATATTTATTTAGACGTGCATATTTTGCTGTTTGCGGTCCCTATTTTTTACATGTTAAAAAGTGGTTTTCAGTTGCCAGTTTCTTCAGAATGCAGACCTTACTGTCGAGCCCTGGTCAGGTTGTGTTTGCGTCTGTGTGTTCCAGTCTTTTATACATTCAACGTTTAAGAACTTTGGCTTCAAGTCAAGTCAAGAATGTTATTCATAAAGCCCAATATCACACATGTGCTTCAAAGGGCTGCACAATCTCTACAGCATACGACACCCTCTGTCGTTAAACTGTTAGATCGGAAAGTATTGTTTTAGTAACACCGAAAGTCAGGTGCTGAATAGGCTCCAGTATCTAAACAATACGATATCCAGGCCTTGTAACTGTGCTGTTAACTGTCAGTTGTATTTCATACATCAGCTAGTGCATTAATAAGATGTACTATATTCACAAAGACCTACAGAATGCTTGACTCTATAATTTGAGTTTCTTAATTATAAGCATGCTCTATGTAGAGCCCTAAAATCCTACAATGGAAGGAAAATGTACTCGAGGCAGCACACTGCCTTTTCTTACAGCTATTACATCACAGAGCTATCGTTATGGTCAAAATGGCTGCTGTCGTCTGCTCTTACGGCGAAACTCTCTTTTCAGAGTGGAACTTACCGTATGGTGTCGGAGGAGGAGCAGGCTCTCAGGGCCAAGCTGGAGCGTCTCACCGTCAAGGACCACGGGCCAGTGTTTGAACCCTGCGCCAGCCTGCCGGACCACACCAAGCAGAAGGTAACCAGACCTGTTCTCACATCACCAGGTCAGAGAGATCAGGACACAACATTAGTTCACATTTGTTAAAGGGCTAGTGCGTAGCACTTCAGGGGATCTATTAGCAGAAATGGAATATAATATTCATAACTGTTTTCAATAGTCATAGTTTTCCTGTACGCTTGGAAAGGGAGGGGTGAGTGGAGGGGTATTCAGTTGGTTACAATCTACAACCTCCCCACTAGATGGCACTAAATCCTACACACTGCTCCTTTAAACTATATGACCAGGATTACTCCAGAAATGAAGCTAAGAGAGTTTATCGTGTAACATCAGCAGACACGGGCAGCTAAAGAGAGCCTGGTGATGCAGATGTTTGCTACAACTTTTGTTCCCCTTAAGTAACACAAACCCTACTGCAGTGGTTGTCCTCGTGATAAGACCAATTAGAGAGTCAGATTAAACCAAATTGATGAGATTGCATTGTCAAACAGTCCTCTCTGGCAACATTAGTAAAATAACCTTTTTTTCGACAGTTATGTCACTTAACTGTATAAAAGCAAAGCTGGCTGTGGCCTAACTGTCTGGTCTGGCTCTCCCTACAGGCCAAGGACGAGCTGAACGAGACTGATGAGAAGAAGGTGTCGGCGGTGAAGGAGCTGCGAGGAATAATCAAGGAGAAGGCAGATGCGGGTGACGACCTGGCCAAAGGGGTGCAGGACACGTTTGGGGAGAAACCCGACAGTTTGCTGGTCCGCTTTATCCGCGCCAGGAAGTACGACGTGCCCAGAGCCTTCGACCTGATGAAGGGTACGTTAGAAACAGGTTGAAGGGAAGATACTGACGGCATGTTTCCCACCAGAGAATCTCTAACTCCTAGTTATACCACATGAATCCAACACAACAAAGCAATAATAAACATGCTAAACTGACCCTAATGGTGAATTAATATACTAAAGTGTTATTGAACAAAATGAAAGTTGAGCCCGGTGTGACCCCAGAATGTGCTCCCGTGTTTCCACCCAGGCTACGTGCGCTTCAGGAAGGAGTACCCCGAGCTGTTTGAGAATCTGACCCCCGAGGCCGTACGCAGCACCATCGAGGCCGGCTACCCCGGCATCCTGCCCAGCAGAGACAAATACGGCCGCGTGGTTCTGCTCTTCAACATCGAGAACTGGGACTACGAGGAGATCACATTTGATGAGGTAAGTGGGGGGTTTCTGGGCGACAACATATCCCACAATGCACCTAGAAAAGCATGTACTTAATTACATTCCACCACTGGATCTTGTCAAAAATCTTCTTCATGTCACACAATGTGATCACAAATACGTGTGTGTGTGTGTGTGTGTGTGTGTTCAGATCCTGCGTGCCTACTGCGTGATCCTGGAGAAGCTGCTGGAGAACGAGGAGACTCAGATCAACGGGTTCTGCATCATTGAGAACTTCAAGGGCTTCACTATGCAGCAGGCGTCGGGAATCAAACCCACAGAGCTCAAGAAGATGGTGGACATGTTGCAGGTGGGGGGGATGGATGTTCTGGAAATGAAAGCTGCGGAGGAAAAGCCGAGATCAGATGGTTTTTATAGCCTTATTTTTAAAAGGTGGTAAATTAGAGTTAAGCAGAAAATATGTTTGTTTTCTTATTCTTACCGCATTCCTCTCAGAAGATTGTGTGGATTATTCCTCATGTCTGAATGGTTGGAGAATCACCTTGAGCAAGGCATTTAACTTTAACTGCAGGAACAACTGGTACTTTCTGCAGGACTCCTCTTCAGTGAATGTTTTATTACGTCACTAAACCACGTCACTTTTGTTCTTCCAGGATTCGTTCCCTGCTCGTTTCAAAGCCGTGCACTTCATCCACCAGCCCTGGTACTTCACCACCACCTACAATGTGGTGAAGCCACTCATGAAGAGCAAGCTGCTAGAGAGAGTGAGTCAGACAAACACGGCCCTTTAATGACCGACTGCAACACCGCTGCTCCTCCCTTCAGTCTATCACATGCAACCATGTCAGAGGGACCAGTCACAACTCACATGTTCAACAGTCAGGTGGTGAAAATACTCAAACGCCTCTAACAGCTGCTGTCCTTGCTCTAGGTGTTCGTCCACGGAGACGAGCTGGAAAACTACTACAAGGAGTTTGACGCCGACATCCTTCCCTCCGAATTCGATGGAAAAGGCTCAAAGTACGACGGCAAGGCCACAGCAGCCAAGCTGTTCGACTAAAACCTCCGCCCTCCGTCTGCGAAGGGTCGTTATATATGACAAACCCCACAGCCTGTGGATATCCAAAGCCCAAATCTAGCTGTGCAGTTGAAAGAAAAGAAGAAAAAAAATGAATGAAAGTCTCGAGTCCATGTTGTGTTCAAGAGGTCCAAACAAAGCTCAGGCCAACAGAAAACTTCTCTACGGTGTTCTGTACAAACCATTTGTTTGTCATGTTCCTTACCTTATCTCTACTCTTAGAGGGACTGGAGACACTGGTTTCAAATCATTAATTACAGACTGCGTTTGCTTTAGATATTTGCAGATTATTCTAAAAGATTTAAGATGTTCTCCCTTGCAGGCAACCATTGACTTCACTTCATAGCAACATAGTGTGAAAATCAACCTTCTTAGACAATTCATCACAATGAACATGTAGAACATGTTTTGTTTTATTGATACATTTGCTATTTTTGCACAGTAAAGCAGATTTGGGCAGGCAGTGTTTTCATGCTTCCCTGCTGTTGTGTTCAAAGAAGCTCTGGAAAGAGTAAATTCAGATTATTCTTTTCGGTGTCCGTTTTACGGATTCACACACACGAGATCTCAGAGTTTGCTGAAAAAGTCACCAACAGGGACACGTCTTAATGCTGACAGCAGCATTACTGGAACTAATCGAATAATAACGGTGACCACATGTCCTGCTCAGTGGTGGATTACGCATCGAAAGCAGATTTCAAGCCTTTGCAAGTTGATTTTCATATAAAACTCAAAAGAAATAAAGTGAGTGGCCGTCTTTAATCTAAAGTACATTGTTTGATTCTTTGACCAGTCAGATACATTAAAGTCTTTTAATGTCATTTCATGAAGGATAAATGGAGAAAACATTCAGTCAGAACACACAGGGTGACCCCCGTTAGGTCACTTGAGCGGTCTTACCGCCTGCTTTAGTTTGTGCTTTGTTTGGACCGTACTTCACCCACACAGCTTGTTTCAACACTGGCAGGTCCCAGCTTTCTGAGTTTCCACCCTCTGGTCTCTCCTTGAAGTACAAGGCTGATGTGCCAACAAGTGCCGGTCTCTCGTGTGTTTTTTAGATTGTTCTTCAACATGAATATTATGATGTTTCACCCATTGTGCTACCTGGTGCACCAAAAAAAAGTCAATAAATGTACAATAAACTGTATATGAATATAAGGTGTAGTCTTTGCATCAATTTGCAAATCTAAACGAGACCGAGACTCAACAATGTTCGCGGCTCTGTGAGACTGAACTCAGGTGGTGCTTTGAGCTAAATGAGTCAGCGTGCATCTTAGTTTAGTGTGTTAGCATGCTCATATTTTCTAATTGGTACTAAAGTTAAAGGGGACATGTGCTCATTTTCAGGTTCAAACTTGAATTTTGGGTTTCTACCAGAACATGTTTACATGCTTTAATGTTCAAAAAAAAACACACCCGCACTACGCTCGTACGGTCTGAATATACCGGTATTCAGCCTCCAAAAAGCGGCAGTTGCTTTGATTTGCTACCAGAAATAAGCCACAAAACTTTGTGGCTTGGTGGGCACTCCAGATACCCAAATGTATGTGCAAAAGCACTGAAAAATATTGTTGTTTTTTTTAAACTAAAGCTGGCGGAAATGTCATTACTTTTGCAGGTTTTTGGTCAGGAATTATTTTTAGAACATTTTTAATTTTGACCAGATGGTGGCTCTAGAGGAAAAGTTACAGGAACTCCAAAGTCAGTGGGAGTCATCGGCTGTACACAGCGTCTGTACACGATTACATCGTAATCCATCTAAAGTTGTTGAGATGTCTCACTCTGGACAAAGTGGTGGACTGACAGACATGCTCTGGATAGAAAAGGAAAACCTTAAGAGGTTTACAATTAACAGACCAAAACCCTATGTGAAAAACATTTATTCATGGGTGAGTTTAAATATGACTAATCAGTCATGACTGTGCACAAAACCCATTAAGATTAGATCATAAACGTTACACCCAGATGCTGATAAAGAAAAACTATAAAGACAGTAAAGTGCAGGCGAAACATATCGCACACAACAGTGGTGCTGATACAGGCGACAGTCTGCTTTAAAAAAAGGCAGAGAATTAGAGTTGCATTAAATCTGATGGTTGATATGTTGATTAATAAGACTTAATAAGAGTCTGCAGCATGTATTTCCAGGAGACAGGATGTTACTCACAGGAAACTGACTAATATAGCAAACATTCACACCAAAGGCCCAGAACAAACTGCAGAGCACAAGTGATTTCTTCACACAAACTCCACCTCTTACTTTGTTCATTTTTCAGACTTATAATCATAAGTACAGTTCTCGTAGTAATATGCCGTATCATTAGACAGAAACAGAGGTACGTTTTGTGTGACAGATTCATGCGTCTGCCGTCTTTTCTCCTCTCTTCACGTGACAAACTCCACCCATCCGGTATGTAGCAATAAGCAGCTTAACACCCCCCCAAAAAAACCCCAATAATTTACAAAACGTATCAATTAGCCCATGTTCAAAGTTAACAGGAGATGTGTGTCTAATATGAGACTTCCATTGTGTTTGAGCCAAAGCCATATGCCTGTTTTAAAGGAGTCACATGAGGCCAAAAGGCAGCAAAATCTTTAAAAAAAAACAAAAAAAAAAAAAGCTCAACGTTGAGATACTTTTTCTGGAAAAGTGAAGAGTGCTTTGGTCCATTTGCTTGGTAAGTGCATGAATTGAGAGTCCACAGGATTTCTTATCCAATACGCTCACTGTTTGAGTCCCACTTTATCTCTCTTTTCTGCTTTTTGTCATAAACACAGTTTGACCCAGCTCTGTCCTGAACCGAGACTTTTTCAGAAGGTCAGCAGCAACAATAACTGCTGGTGGTCCACCGTACACAATGGAAATACAAAGAGACAAACTGGAGACAAACTGAGCAAAATTATGCCTCAACAACATAAACTAAACTGGGTGTTATTTAACACATTTTTCTTGCAATGAAAACATCAAACTTCTCTTAATGGAAACATATTATATCAATATTAATTAAATTAAATTTCCAGTTTGACTGAACACGACAGAAGTTGATGTTGAGCAGCCATGAATCACGTCACACTGCTGCTGATTAGCAGTTACTCAATGATTCATGAGAAGCCAAATGAATGTGTTACAAATTCACATTTATATTTAGGCACTTAATATAAAATAATAAAATAGAACTGATGGATCTTCAGCTGTATTTTAAAGTATATTATGGTTAAAAGGTTTAAGGAGTTAAATTTCCAGTTTTTATAAATATTTCAGTTATTCTAGTCGTGTTATTTGTATGCGAGATGACATATGAATTTTTCAGTAGTTATTCATGTAGAAAAATAAACTTTTTTCTCTTACTACATGCAGGTCAGAGGTCACATTCATCCTCTGATGCCACCGCCCCCCACTAATTATATCACCCTGCTTTCCAGACTCAAGGAGCAGCAGCTGCCAAAAGCCAGCAGAGGGTGAACTCGTGTTTCACTGGAGGTTAACTGGGAACAAGAGGAAGGACCAATTCAACATGGGGTCGCGTTACATTTTCAGGTATCTTACACGAGTTTCAATACATAATTTAGCACGTCCACTCCAACTTCGCCTTTTCCAATCCGATATAGAGACTTCCTACATTAGAGGAAGTTAGTGCTGAAGCAGAGCAAACAGAGGAGCTTGTTTCTGTAGTTTTGGTCTGTTGTTTAGTCTCCAGACTTCTATGAAGGTTATGTTGCTCACTGGTTGTTACCCCTGTTCTCTTCAGGTAGGAGTTCATGTCCTGGTGGCTGCTCCTCTGACAGGCCGGCCGGTTCTTCTCCCATTGGCAGAGAGCGTCGGCGTACTCCACTATGACCTTGTCCATCCAGGTGAGGGGCTGAGGGAACAGCATGGCTCCCTCAAAGAAGCCCAGGTGGCCTCCGTGCTGGGTCAGGGCGAACATCACGTTGGGCATCTTTTCTACAAATAGAAGGAGAGGCAAGATAATATATATCTTTAACTCTGCAGTATTTACTATTGAAGTATGGCTAACACTTAATGTAGTGCCAGCCCATTCATCGTGACAAACAGCTGTGTAAACACAGGAGAAGTAACTTTAACAGGATAAAACGTTGGGGCTCGTTCGTGCTGCAGGAATGAGTGGGCGGGTTTGCATTTCCCGTTTCCTGTCAAAGTTTTGAATTTTCTTTTGTTTATACGTCTGAAATAAAGTCTGTGTTTAACACAAGCTTAAGATATTTTAAGTTTTGTTCTACGATTAAATACGTCAGTAAATACCCCTCTTGTGAATTTTGAAGCTTTTAAATATCTTAAAACAGGAAGTTGCTAAAAAGTGTCTAAATGAGATTACAAAACGTCCTCACGACGACTGGTCCGCCTCATTGTGTACACTTGCACTAATGCCACCGTGGTGTAGTTTGTAGCCTAACATCTTTCTATCCCTGCTGATTTCATTCACACTTCAAAAATCATAAAAGTGATGTTCATTTGTGAAGATTATCTTGATGAACAAAACTTGTAAGTATCATAAACTTGTTTACCGCAGAGACAATTCTCTTCAATAATCAGTGTATCTATCTGTTGGCTCCTTGTCGAGGGAACCAGTGTGATGCTAAAATTCTGGGCTTGGCCTTAAAAAAAAATACGTGATCCCAGCAGCACAAACACTACTGAAGCCATGAACCGATCATCAGAGCCAAACATGACATTGTTTGTACAGAGTTTAAATTCACCGACTAGAACCATCAGCCAACAAATCATATTCACCAAACTGTACAGTACGGCTCCTGAAGAACACACTGGCTCACAACTAAAGGAGCTTTACTTAAATATTTATCATTAATCAAAGATACACTCCCTGATTTTATAAAGCCCAACAGTGGCAACTAAGACTGTGAACTCTGTTGACTTTTAAAACATTAACAGGGAGGTGAAAGCATATTTGGGGATTCGGAGGACAGTATTTGGCTTTACTATTTTAGCTTTTTGCACTTTATTAAGTTAATTTGCACAGAAATATACCGCCCTCCTTTCCCTTTCTGTTACTCTACACCACCTACACTCTCTACCCACCTTAGCTCTTCTTTTGTAAATGCACACACACACATAAACAACGCTCATATTCACACATATGCACAGAATATTGTCACAAAAGAGAGAAGGCAAATTTTCAAGAACTAAGAAATCCTGTAGCAACATTTGTTCTTTCAGTGGGTTCCCTTCCTGTGTGCATGAGGTCTACACAGGTAAGTATTATTATTAAATTCAGGAAATGAAAACACAGTTCTAACTTAATAATAAGCATGTAAAGAAAAAACTAGCCACGTGTACTAACTCCTTTGAAGTCAAAGACAAGTTTAGAATTTCACTTGTCAGGGTTTAGGTCATTACTCACACTGATTTAAACACATAGGGGCCAGAGCATGTGACCCACAGAGGCAAGACAAGGCTAGGTCCACCCACCCCCACACCCACACCCACACCTCGCTATATATAATCCAACAGCCTAGTCGTATCACATGGCCCTGAAAAATTCAACAAGACTGTCTGGGCTGGGCGGTGTTGTTGAGCAGATAGCTGCGACAAGACTTTATCGACACTTAAGACTCCGGCCCCAGTGTCCGGCTCCAGGGGAGAGGGAGGACAACGGGGGCATTTACTCAAACACTCGTCTCCGTTCGTCTCGCTGTGAAGACAATGTTTGACTGTTGCAGTCAGTCATTCTCTAGGAAACACCCAAAACAAACAAATATGAGCCATAGCAACAGTTCAGTCAACTCCTCCGCATAATAAAGTGTGTGGATGAGGTCATACTGCAAACTTCCAGATGACTGCTCTTGAACATTATCGTTTTATTATATGTTGCATTTACATGCGACACACTTTCTGAACAGTGTACTAAGGCCGTTTTTAAAGCTACTTAAAGGGATAGTTCAGTGGGGTTGTATGAGGTACTTGAGGTAATTATAGTCATATTACCTACAGTAGATGCCTACAGTCTGCACTCATGGAGCAGGTAGGACTGACCGCACGGAGAGAACGCAATGTACTGTTGATGGCCAGGGCAGCAGCAAAATGTATTTTAGCCACCTGAGACAAAGGCCCTCCTAAAAACTGAATATACCTTTACATGAATTCTATATTGAGAATATTTCTGCTGGTTTACCTTGCTGTGAGACAGCTATGCAGTCTATGTTACCGAGGGGGAACTGAAGCCGTTTTCTATACTTTCGCCAAAGCCACCAGACTCCTTTGGAAAAAAAGCTTATTTTAACTCGCAGAACACAAGAGTTGCTTGTCTGCCGCTGCCTAAATCTATGGTCTAAGTTAAAGCAAAGTTATTTTGTGACTTTGGTGAATGCGACCAAGCCAAAGTCACACAAATTAAATAACTGATAAATGCAGCAACTCCAGTGGTTCTGCCAGGTTAAAAATCTGGTTAAAATACAGTTTTTTTCCCCCAATGGAGTTTGGCGGGACTTTAACCTGATATGGATTTTTCTTAAGTGTCTAAAATACGTTTTGCTGCTGGCCCCGTCCACAGCAGTACATTGCTTGCTTTCCGTTCGGTAACTCCCGTGTGATTCTACAAACATGTCGACCATCACCTACTGTCAGTAATACACTGACTATGGATGAATACATCAGAACCCTCACTTCAAAACTATCCCTTCTACAGCCTTTGATCTGAGTCATGACACTCTGATGAAGGCTTTTCTACCAAAACATGTTTTTTTATGAGCCAATAAAAATGACTTCGCCATAAAGATTAGCTGAATACATGTTTTTAATATTTCCGTGTCAGGTTTACTTTTCATCCATTTCGATAAAACACATGAAATATTGTAATTGAATAACTCTAAATCATGGCCAAAGCAATATATTAAAGCTACTGACACCATTCATAACTATTATAGTTAGAAATGAACACAAACCTGCGAGTGCGCGTGGTATTTCCAGTAGCGATGGATGAATGAGCGGGTCGTCTAAGGAGTTCAGCAGGAAGAGAGGCACAGTGACCTGGAGATGAAACAACAACTTGTTTCTGAATGACTTTGTATAAGTAGAAGATGTTAAAGTAGAGGGTTAGTCAGTGTAGTACTGTAGTTGTAGAAGCAATAGTACTACAGTGGTACCAGTAGTAGCAACAGTAAAAGTATTAGAAGCAGTAGTAGTAGCAGCAGCAGCAGCAGTAGTAGTAGTAACTTCTTCTGTAGTAGTAAAATCAGTACCCAACACAGAACTTCCTCTAATTTTCAAACTGTAAAAAAAACAGTAAATTAATTTTGTGTAAAGGTTAAATAAACAACATACAATGTGATAACTATGGACCCTTAGAGTTGCTGGTATGTAGTTAATCTTTTTAACTCTTTGCCCCTTGCTTCCAGTCTTTATGCTAAGCTAAGCTAATCCCCTCCCCCTGATTTTTAACTCCATAGTTTACGCAAAGACTTGAGAGTGGTATTAATCTTCTCATCCGACTCTCGGGAAGAAAGCAAATAAGCAATGTTCACACAATTACTGTAAGCAGTGAGGACGCATCGACCAGGTTAAGAGGCAGGCTGTCAATGCTGTATTATAGTAGCAAGAATAAGTATATTGTAGTAATAGTAGAAGCAGTAGAGGTAGTGATAGTAGTAACAGTAGAACTAGTAATACCGGCGTAGACACAGTAGTGACTGAAGGCATAGCAGAGGTAAAAGTAGTAGTAGTAGTATTAGCAGTATATCAAAGTAAACATCTACACACTCACTTTGTGGATGTAGTTCAAACAGCTCTCCTTCTCGTAGTACTCACTCAAGGAGCTGTAGCCGTGAAATTTCCTGCAGGACGAATCGTGTGATAACTTATTATTATTATTATTAATAAACCTTTATTTAAACCAGGTAAGATACCATCAGTGACAGAGATAAGAGCTGGAGAGTTCGTGGAGGCCACCAGCAGCCAAATCAAAACATCAAATCCACCCAAACTCCCCGCACCTCATGATGCTGTCGTCGATCTGCATCAGAGACGTGGCTGCGTAAAGTCTGTTTAGGTCCACGTCACCAATGTTGCTGCCGTTCAGGCCGAGCAAACTGCTCCTGTTGAACAATACAAATAAAGGTATTTAGACAAATCGGGGCAAGAAGCTGCATCTTTGAGTGGCTGGTAAGCCCCGTCTGACGGTGTCAGAGACATTTCTTATAATTCAGCAACTCATGGCTGCTGGAATTCACACCATTAGCCTATTTCTGACATCTAGCATGGATTTCTTGTCTAAACTTGACCAATAGACAGTCTAGATGGATGTTGATCTTGGTGAGTTGCTGCAGAAATCTACTTCAATAAGTAATGTAGGGAAACGACTCAATACATCCAAGACTTTGCTCTCTGACAAACTAAATCAGAATAAAGCAATGCTGCCACTTGTGTGTGATGAAATGACACAAAGTAGAAAGGATTAACACGTCTCTGACTTCAGAAACGGTTGTTGCGTTTCTCCACCTGTGTGACAGGATGAGCGTCTTCATTCTGTCCGCCAGCATAAAGTTGTAGAGTCTCCTGCACTGATCCCACTGGAGGAACGTTTCCTGGACTCTGCGAACACAAATGCATACTCTAAAAAAAAAAGGTAGGAAAAACAACTGAGCTCCTCTCCAGTATCCCAATCTATGCATTTTTATTCATATCAAGTCCTGGTTCTGATTGTTTGTTTGTCCTTCCATCCACCAACCTGAGGGCGCTGTAACCCTGACAGACGGTGACACAGCAGAGCACTCGGTCCTGGTTGGATGGGTTCTCACCCAAGAACTTACAGACGATGTTTCCCCCCAGGCTGAAGCCCACAACCACCAGCAGCGTCTCAGGAAACGCTCGTTTGATGTAGCCCACCATGGCGGCATACTCCCAGGTACAACCTGAATGAAGGAGAGACACTTTAATATCTGTGAGGAATACTATAACAACAATAACACAGGGTTGGTAAACTAGCAAGAGTCGGCTAGATTTAAAAATTATACAACTGAAAACTCCTAATTTTGCCAACTCTTTTCCGATGAAAGTAGCGAGCAGCGCTGGCTCCAAAAGTCCCCAAAGTGAGAAAGTCGGCATCACTGACAGCCCGTCCCTTCAGTCACTCCCCCAAAGTTATTATACTGAACGTAAACAACAAACATGGCTATCGTAGCTAGCGGCGTCCTGCAACAGCCACAGATATCCGATTTATTTCTCTGTTTTTTGGCAGAGTATCTATTTATGTATTTCTATTCTCATTGATTGCCGTGAGGATATAATGAGAGCTAAAATATTAAATTGTGTCTGGAGAAGATTACCAGCCCTGCCTTTAAGTATGAAAAAAAGTTTGTGAAATTCAGTTTTTGTTTCTATGTCACAACTTTGATTAAAATCTACTTTGCCTCGTTTTGCTTCCCCTAATCTTAGTTCTCCTCACTTTATAGAGAAGCAACATCAGATACGCAACGAAGGGATCTTCCCCATCACGGTTTGAACTGTGACATTTCATCGAAGCGGTCCTTCGTAAGTCTACCGCGGGACGTTTCCCTCGTTACCGTAGGTGAACATGCGGGGCGAGGTGAGCTCCATGTCGGGCAGGGCTCCCAGGTGGTTGAGGACGGCGCAGCGGTAACCCTGCCGCTGGGAGTGATCCACAAAGGTACGGATGTAGTTCTTCTCGCTATGGTTACCGATCCCAGGGCAGATTACCATGGTAACGTCATCTGACACACACACACACAAACACACACACGCACACAGGAGGGAACACAAACATACAAAGTGGAGTCATGTGTGGGCGTAAAAGTAGATGCCATATGCGTGCGTGCGTTGAATTAATTGGCGGCTGAAATGCGCAGCTCTAGGGATTCATTAGTGGTCTTCCAGCTTTTGCATACTGTACTGTATTATTATTATTATTATTATTATTATTATTATTATTATTATTATTATGAGCTGCTAGTTACTTCAGGGTGATGTGCTCGCGATCCAAACAAGCACGTAAAACTCAGGTGGAAAGACATGACAATAAAATCAATATTTGGTGATATTTTCTTACAAAAATAAGCTTTAAAAAGACAGAAGATTAGTGGTTGTGTGATTAAATCCTAAACATGCAGAAAGTCCGAAGCCGGCTGCTTGGGTGCTCCACCAGATCGACCGGTATTTGCCACCGACCTCCTGTGCTGTGATCTCCGCGAGCTTCAAAGAGGTCAAAGGTGGCTGTGGCCCCGTCCGGCATCGGGAGGAACTTGCGGAACCCGTAGAGCGTCGGAGTGTTGACACGCCCCATCTTGCCATACAGGGCCGTCTGGAGATGTCCACTCTTACCCCACAACAAGGGAGGAATGTATCTGAAGAGACATACCAGCTCCATATTAGACATCACAGCTGTTAACATCCACCCTGAAGATGTTCCAGCACAGAGTATTGCGCCACAGACAGGCACACATACATACATACATACATACATACATACATACATACCACTCCAGCTAAAGGAGGTGGCAGACTAATCTACAGGCACCGTCAGTCAAGATTGCTTATTTGTGGTTGACGTTTTTATCCACCAAATCATGCAACTCTTGTGACCTTATTCCTGTGTAACTGTAAATGTGTTAGAATCAAGCGGGTCTCAAGCCAACAACATTCAGCATAACTTTAAAATGATGTACTGTCTTGTCTCAAGTGGTTGGATTTGAGTGAGTGTCAAATAGTCTCTTTTGCTAAGAATTGTTCCTAACTGTGTGAAATAGCCTGGAAGTATTAAAGGAACAGTGTGTAGGATTTAGGGAGATTTATTGGCAGAAGTGAATATAATATTCATAACGTTTTCATCAGTGTGTAAGCACCTGAAAACTACGAATTGTTGTGTTTTTGTTACCTTAGAATGAGTCGTTTGTATCTACAGAGTCTGCCGTGTTGCATGTTTCTACAGAAGCCCAGAACGGACAAACCAAAACACTGGCTCTGGAGAGCCCTTTGTGTTTGTATGTCCCCTGAAGGCCACCATACAGTTTACTCGCTGAGTAATTCCCTTTAAAACTGAGACTACATGATAGTTAACACTCACTCTTTGGTCAGCAACGGGCAGGATTTGTACAGGTAGCGGCCGAGCGGTGTGTCCTGGTGGCCGACCTCAGGTGGTGCTGTGGTACTGTTCAGGTTCAGACAGCGGACGATGACGTAGAGGACAGTTGCCACCGCTGCCAGCTTCACGCCATCGAACATGGCCGGCAGCTCCGGGCCGAAGCTGCCCATGTCCGGGTCCTCGAGGAGGGTCATTGTGGACACAGGAGAGGACCTGCATGCACAGCATGTTAGGAGAGCATTTCACTTGCATGAGCTTACAGGAGGTGGAGTGTTTTCTAGACAGTAGTTTGACATTTGTTAAGATTGAAAAATGAGCAATAAAAATATAACTTTAGATATTTGGATGTGATGGTTTTGGGCTCTGCCTTCCTCAGCACGTGAGCTTTAGTTTAGAGACGTGCTAACCCTGAAACAATACTGTAGTCTGGAAAGATTTACTAACTCATGTTGGTCTGAAGTCTGTTTGCAGATCCTAATCTCTGATCCCGCAAACAGACTTTCTGCAACAGACCTGCAATGACTTGCACACAATGCATAAATATTGGCACCAAATATCAGGTATTTACAGAGTTGGAAAAAATAATGAGATCCTGTTGAGCAAAAGTAGCAAGAAAAACTCAGTTATGTGTAAAAGTCATGCATTCAAATGTTTACTTCAGTTAAAGCACAAACGTACTGGCATCAAATATACTGAAAGTACTAAAAGTAAAAGTACTCTTTCCAGGATGGCTCATTATAGAATAATATACTATTAAACGTGTTCTTCACTTTATAATTTATAATTTATATTATGTAAAGTACAAGTACCTCATAATTGCAGTTAAGTACAGTGATTTAGTTCACTGCGTTGATTTCCTCTACTGGGTATTGGGTGCTTTAATTCCAAAGCATTGATACCGACATTGACCATTTTAAACTCATGCATCAATTATTTTGGCCACTTTTGATGATAGTAATAATTAACGGAGATGCCCTCTATTGATTTAAAAAGTTGTTCCCCACCTTGTGTGACTTTGAAGGAAACGCAGTGGTCGTGGTCCCTCCTTGTTCTCCGTCGATGCTCCCTCAGTGCTGGAAAACAAACAGTTAAGCTCAGTTGTAAAAACTTGCTGGTTTCAGGCCCTCAGGGCGAAAAAACACAAAAACAGACAAAACCAGCATGTCATTTGCGGAAATGTCACGTTTAGAACCATTTATAATGCATGAACGACAAAAACCGGAACTTACAAAAAGTAGAAATGGATAGAATAGAATAGAACACACAGCCAGCTGTGTTCCTGGTTAGTTTAAATAAGATCAAAAACAAGTGTCCTCGGTTTGAGTGTCTGTTGAAGAATTTGTTTTGTCACTCAGGTAGCGTTAAAAAGTGGCTCGAGGTGAAGCTGGAGGCTTCAACAAACACAAACACCACATGGACTTTACGTAAAGTACATAATGTAGGTTTAAAAGTACACGGGGAACATTTCCGGTCTTACCATCGCTGTTTTTGGGGTAGTTTGTCCAGGTTCTGGTCGGATCCAACTGGAGTTGAGCTCACCGTCTGTTTACAGCAGAGGGAGCGACTGGCCAGCAGGGAACTCAGGGCGCATTCAAGTGCTCTTATAAAGCTCCGAGTTTTAGGTATTACCGGAGCCAACAATAAAAACAACATATTTTTTACAAGATTTAAGGTTTTTAATATCTATCACCTGCACATTAAATCAGTTATGGAAGCTTATGTATGAATCAAGCAACCACTTTCTGAGCCCTAACGTGCTGGAGCTTCCGTACTCGTCGATTCTACGTTTGAAATCCGGCCGTACATGAAGGCAGCATGACGGACAGCGGGTTAGCTTACTTCCTACTACAGAGAAACTAACCGTCTCATTACATGCTGTGGTTTATTAATTGGGCAGATACATGTCCGCCACCATTGTGAGCTTCTATTTCACAGTGACACACATAACAGTTGTAGATACAACACATTGACATAATCGCACACACAAATAGTGACCATATAACGGATATTATAGTGGCTTATAGTTGATTAAGATCAAATAAACTCACTACCAAGACTCAGTTATTACGCAAGGAGATATCACAAATGCAGACTATGTAGGATTTACAACAACAACATGGTTATTGCATATTTAAAGCCGGTTTAAAAACAAAATGGAACTGGGGGCAGTAATTAATGTCACTTCAGTTTCAAGGGATCAGTCAGACCCTCTTTCATTGAGTGATTTGACCACTGGAGGGCGCCATCCACCAATGAGTGGTTCACAGTGCTCTAATCGAGCTTTTAATATAGTTTTTCTTACTGATATTTGTGTAGGATCGTTCTAAAATTGATTATAGGTTTGTTATAATGTGTTTATGACATGGTGACACTGTATTTAGGAGAAAATATGACATTGGAAGTAATAACCTTTCCAGGCCCATCACATTACTTCATCGCAATTTAACCCACAATTACCAAACCATTCTAATATTTAAAATGTAGTGAGAACACGTGAGAAATCGCACGAATGATGAAGTGTGTTAGTGGTTTGTGTTGCTTAGTTAAAATACTTTTTATATTTAAAATATTTAATTTCATAACAAATACAGCCACGTGTCTTTAAAAAAAATCAAACCACAGAAATTCAACTTTTATTTAAAGTAAAGTTGATGCTTACTCATAATAAAACACCATAAGTTAAAAGAAAAAGCACAAATACAAAATTAAGTGCAGAATATTAAAAAAATATATGTTTTTATTGTGTGTTTGTCATCCAATCAATCCAGTATTCCCTGTACATACACCGTATAGTATCATTTGTCCATATTAAATAAAGGACCCTACACTTCAGCTTATGTTGTTTCACCCATTCGGTTTTGGCACAGTCCGGAACTCTGTGAACAAAAACATCTGTGAACAATGAACGACGAAATTGAGGTTTCAGTTGAACTGTAACTTTTGTTGTTTTTCCAAAGAAATAACGTGACAGGAATGTAAACTCCCCTCCTCCATCATTTTTCACTGTGATGTTGTTCATAAGAGTGAATCCTCATTTGTGCTTCCAGATGAGGCAGAAGTGAAAGAGGACTTGATCATGTTTCTGTGCAGGAGACAGAAGTGAAAATTCATACACACCAGTTATAGATTTCTGAATTACTCGACACATTTCTCGAGTAGCATTCCACTTTTGGTAAATCACATTTTCACAAGGTTTTTTCGAGTGTACAGGATTATGCTGCGCTCCACACTGAGGATTAGGATCAAACAGGCTTCTGTCACATTGAAGCTCCCTCTCGCCATCATTAACCTCATCCTCTGGCTCAGACTTAGTGCTGAGTCGGTCATGAGAAGAGGCTTTGTTTAATAGAAGAGGAACATCACAGGACACTGCCATTGTGAAGTCTCACCACATTTGGCGGCTGCTTCATGTCAACCAGCCCACAGTGCACATGACTGTTCTTATGGTTTCATGACTGTACGGATGAAGTAGTTGAGTTTCAAAGTTTTAGGGATTATGCTGACACTCAGAAAAAGAAACCAAGAGGGGTTTAAATATCTGTGCTGAAGTGCGCTTCAACATCATGGAAGCTTTAGCTACAGGATGGAAAAACTAGCTGCATTTTGAGATCAACTTCCCACATTTTCTAAATCACAATCACACATTAGGCTGATGGTTAATTGACAGGAGGCGGAGCTTCTACCACCAGGGTGTGCACAGGTGTTCTGCATACAGTGATTGGGATGTGATTTGTTTGTTTCTACACCTGCCATTCCAGCTGAACCCTGTATACGCTCTGATGAAGGTCCTTTAGACCGAAAGCTACAAAATAAAGTGCTCGAGATAAAGTAACAATACTGGGGTCACGTTAGGGCACTTATTGTTCAGTTCAAATTGTACTTTAGTGTTAAGACAAGAAAAGATACTACAAATTCTTGTGCCAGAAGTTGCTCAAAAATTACAACAACATAACCCAGCTTGGCCTTGCTGGTAATCTAGTCTGATTTGCTGACAACAGCATTTTTATGGCATTCAAATAAGTATAAACCTGCTCCAAAGAGACTTTACAGTTCTTAGATATTGAAGGAATTGTTCAATAAGGGAATAGCTCTCCTTATAAAAGTTCAATAAGGGCAGCTAATTCATTTCAGCAAGCTCTCAATTACTCATATTCCATAACATATTAACATAAGAAGTTGTTATGATACTGCTGCTTTAAATTTCCCAGCATATCCTCACTTTGCCTTGATAGAAAATACCTCAAATAACCTTCTATATTTACATTTTCGGGGCATTTAAAGGACCGAAAGAAGAACATATGTTTCCCAGATTTCCCCTAAAGAGAAATATGCACTTTCACTTCCTTTTCACTTCTATGTTCCTCATCTCATCAAGTAGAAGTTGGGGTCACAGAGTCCATCAGTATACTCACCCTCTGTTCGACCTCATCTAACTAACCAGTGGGAATATAAGAGGAGCTTGGTATCGCTCCATATAGCTTGAGATATAGCTTTGATGTGAAAAAGGTCATCTGGGGGAAGCATGTGAGAAGGTCTATAAGTTTCACACTGCATATGATTTGAAGAGTTAGTTTTTTTTAACTGCATTTGATCTAAATGTGCAAGAGAACAGAGAGACGAACGAAGCATGCCGATGTGATGAGAGCACAGCATCGGAGCACAGCAGCCTTTCTTCTGAGACCACTTTAAGCTGCATTTATGACGCGTTACTATAGCTACAGAAGGCTGCATTTTAACACCGCCAATCAAAGTAGAGTTCATCTGAGAACGTTGTTGCTGCTACTGTAAAAATGTGCCACATTTTAAATCCCAGGGAAAAGAAATGTAAAGATAAGAGGCAGAGAGACACTTAAGCAGGTGTCATATCCTTAAAGTTGACAGTAATGTGACTGTTGTTATATTTAGTCTGCTTTTGTCTCCTATTTGGAGCAGGATGGAAAAATAACAACTACACACCATATTCATGCGTGTAAGAAGAATGAGGTCAAAGACTGAAAGGGTCTTGGACATCCCTTCACACTCATTAAAAACAATGTTTCGCCTCACGCCCACTCCCTCCGAGAGCACGAACATCAGCTCTGACCCACTGCTGGATCTCAGCTTGAGAAACGCCCACAGATGAACCTTTTTTTATGCTTTCCATAATACAACACTGGCCTTAATCTGCATTTCGGAGGATTTCATGCATGGTGCCATCATCTGGGAATTTTCCCACAATTATTTGAGAATAGGCAAACAACACAAGAACACACTCACAGAGACATTGATGTAACTGGCCTTTTCAATTTAATCTAAATGTTGATTAAACATGCAAAGTCTTAATCAGCTTCTAAACAGAAAAAAGCACATATTTCAATGTGTGGACTATTCATAGTGACAAACTTCCAGTTGGTAATCCCGCATTGTGTGGAATGGTAAAATCCCCTATGTAGCTCTCAGATTATTTACATGTTAAGTAAAATCCCATACATCACAGATTTGTATATTCATGCCACATATGTGAAACACCACTTCACAAAAACATGAAAACTTCAGAAAGAAAAGTGTCTTTCCTCAAGTGGTGGAGGATGTATTCATTCGCACCACAGTAGAAATCCTGTAAGTAAAAGTCAGTTCAAATTGGTAATGATTTATGACCTCTTCATATGTTATGTTTAATCTCACTATCTATAGCTATCAAATAAATGTCTGCAATATATCATGTGCTGCACTTACATGTAACCCAGTTAACCCGTTTACATTATGATCCATACTTCTGGCATTGTTTATTGCATATATGTTTTTGCACCTTATTGTATTGTCTTTATATTTGCACTCTTCTTGCCATGAAATTGAAATACTCAAGAAAGTATACTGTCAGATCATCTTTACAGTCGGCTACAATTAAGTAAAGTTACTTAGTTAATAACTAAGTAACTTTGAGTTTTACATTTCAGCACTGGTTTCTTGTAGACATTTGCCCAAAGAAACCGCATGGAAACACTGAATTAAGTCACAGATTAAATGTGACTAACTGGCAAAATGGGGGAACAATTATGTTCCTCTCAGTGTTTTTATATCAAAGATCGTAATCAAGACATTTAATGAGATGCAGCTCATTGTCTATAAACGCTCTCTTTGTTTCAATACTGCCCTCGGTGCGTGTGCGCTCGTGTGTGTGCGTGTGTTTGTGTGTGTCACCGACAGCGGGACCGGGAGGGGGCGGAGTTACAATTAAAAAGTCAGGCCGTGATTGGCTGGGAGCTGAGGCGCACGTGTTCCTGCTCTACTCCTGCTGCCTGGCTGTTTTCAGAGCCGCACAACAAGCTCGAGCCACAGAAGCGATAAAAGTCCCGCGCGCTGCGCTCCTCCTTTCGTCCCTTTAACGAGCTAATAAACGAACAACAAGATAATCAACAACTGACCAACACGGCAGCCATGCAGGAGCAGACACGTCTCGTCCTTTGGCTGCAACTTTTCGCAGCTTGTCTGGTGTTCGGGGTGAACGGTAAGTTGCCTCTTTTGTGCTTGTTTACAGGTCAAACCTCCGCCTTTAACGTCCTTTGCAGTGAAGGGGGGGGGGGGGGGTGCACGTCACGTCACGTCACGTTAAAGTTGCTCTTTCTCCGAGGTGCTCAAGTTCAAGCGATCCTTCATTTGACTGAGTGGGAATGTGAGAAGTGAAACATTGTTTGGCTCTGAAACTGCAAGATTAGACAGTTGAAGGTTAAGAAGTAATTCACAATTTAAGTATACAAAAAAAGAATAATTTGCAATCGATAATATAGGTTTTGTAATGTTAGACCAGACATTCTTTATGTCTGAATATATGGTTACTGAAATAAAACCTCAGGGCATATTGTTGTGTGTGCAGAGTGGCCTTTTTAAAGCGCACGACACATGTAGGCTGGCTATTATTCTTGTCCAGTGTTAACCTCGTGCCGGTGGCAGTAGGCTTTGTCTGCATGTCCATGCATCAAACACATTTAGGGCAATGTACAAAGGGTAAAAACCGGCCTGATTCTCCCACCTCCATTTCCGCTCACAGACCGGGGACGAGGCATCACATGTCACACAAGTGGTTCTCTTTGTGTGATGAGGATGTATTTTCCAAATGTCAAAGTACTCCTGTTCCATTTAGAGCTTTTTTTGCTGGACATTGACAAAGAGCAGATTTCATGGCTTGCATTGGTGCTGTGTGAATGACAGATTATGTATTTCTTTTGGACTTTGGGCTTTTTGAGTTGCGAAACAGAGTCAACAGTCAACATTTAATGCCTCATGGATTTATGCTTGCTGCCAGAGGTCAGGGATCTTTTCATTATTTAAGATTTTTATTGGAAAATGTGCAAGAAAGTGTATAAAACATAAATAAAGCTCAAAGTTGACCACATTACATTCAATATGAGATCTAACGAGGCAATTTCAAAATCAGTAAATGGACTCCACATGTGAAAAGATTGCCGATACAGACAGAAAAACAAAACACAATTGACCCAAATACATAGCAATAAATAAAAATAAACAAACAAATACATGTTTAACGTTTTAAGTTGTTTTAAGAAACATAGCCCTATAGTTGACGGAACAATACATATTGCATAGCAGTGTCGTATGTTTTCCACGGCTTGTGTTGACCAATGCTGCAGGTACATGTGACATCATTAGGGGTCGACAGGACATTGATCTATTTGGAGATTAATGCAGTTTAACAAGTTACAGAATCAAATATATATATTTTACAGATAAACAAAAGCTCTTCTGCTTAACTTTGATATGAACTTCTTTGACTTTACCTAGCGGCTGGCTCAGGAACTGTTCTCTATCTGACTCGTGGTGAGACGCCACAGGATCTCACTACTAACTCTGTAACGAACACACCAGAACACACCAGAGATTGGATTTTCTTCAGTTCACGCAGATTTATTTGCGTCAGAAAGTATACAAGTAAACCGAGCTGTCCGGAGTCAACTCACTTCACAATAGCATTGTTCATTACTTTATACCTCCATTCTACCCCAAGTCTCTCCCCCCTTCGGCGATGTCCTCCTCTTCTGACCTTTCACCTAGACTAGTTCCACTGTGCACCTGGGACAAGTCATAACAGAGGGTTTTTTGATCAACCACACTCTCCTTCCCCACTCGTCTTCTCCTGATTCCACCTCTGGCCGCCCGTCACAG